TAATCTGTTCCAGTGTTTTACTGCCCTCCTAGTGAGAGAGTTCTTTCTAATATCCAACCTAAACTTCCCTTCCTGTGACTTGAGACCACTGCTCTTTGTTCTGTGAGGAGCAACCCCTGGGGCGCTCCACTTGATACCGACTGCCAACTAGACACCAAGACATTGATTACTACCCTCTGAGCCTGATTTTCCAGACACCTTACAGTCCATTCATCCAACCCATACTTCCTTAGCTTGCTTGTGAGAATGTTGTGGGAGACCATATCAAAAGCCTTGCTAAAGGCAAGGTATATCATGTCTGCTGCTCTTTCGACATCCACAGAGCCAGTCATCTCATCATAGAAGACAGTCAGGTTGGTCAGGCATGACTTGCCCTTGGTGAATCCATGCTGACGTTCCTAATCTGCACCTTCTCATCCAAGTACTTAGGAACGGATTCCTTGAGGACCTGATCCTTGATTTTTCCAGGGACTGAGGTGAGGCTGTGAGTAGATCCCCAGATCCTCTTTCTTCCCTTCCTTAAATATGGGCACTATATTTTCCCAATCTTCCAAGACCTCTCCTGATCACCATGATTTTTCAAAGATTTCATAGATTTTCAGTGTCGGAAGGCACCTCAGGAGATCGAGTCTGACCCCCTGCCCTGGGCAGAAAACACTTCATTTCTTTCAAGCTTCCTTTTTGTGTTTAAACTCACTGAAGAGTTCCCTGCTAAGCCAAGCTGGTCTGCCATACTTGCTAGTCTTCCTTTGCATTCAGAAAGTTTGTTCCTGTGCCCTCAGCAAGGAACTACAACAGGCTCTCCTAGACTCTTCCTCAGACTGATTTCCCCAGGGATTCTGTCCATCAGTTTCCCAAGTAAGTCAAAGTCTGCTTTTCTGAAGTGCAGAGTCCTTACTTTGCTGCTCTTCTTCCTTTTTTCCCCCCCTCGGTATCCTTAACTTCATCATCTTCTGGTCACTGTTTCCCAAGTTGCCATCCACTTCTGCATTACCCACAATTCTTCTCTGTTTGTAAGCAGCAGAGTCAAGAAGAGCATGGCCTCTAGTTGGCCTCTCCAACACTTGTACAAGATTGCTTGTGTGCTGCTGTATTGTCCTCCCAGCAGATGTCAGGGTGAATGAAGCCCCCCATGAGAACCAGGGTCTGTGATCGGGAAACTTCTGCTAGCTGTTTGAAGAAAGCCGCATCACTGTCCTGGTCTGATGATCAATAGCAGACACCCACCACAACATCCCCTTATTGCTCTCCCCTCTGACCCTAACCTGGATAGGCCTGTTAAAACTATCTCCAGTTTCATACTTGAAGCATGCGCAACAATACAGCTCTTTTACATACAGCTCAACTCCTGCTCTCCTCCCCCTGCCTGTCCTTCTTGAACAGTTTATACCCATCCATAACAGTGCTCTAGTCATGCAAGTTATCCCACCAAGTCTCTGTTATTCCAAAACACTTCATAGTTCTGTGACTGTGTAAGGACTTCTAATTCTTCCTGCCTGTTTCCCAGGCTCCGTGCATTCACATACAGACACCTGAGATAACTACCAATTGCCCTGTTTTCTCAGGAAGAATTAGAAGACCTCCCCTGTTGCTCCCTCCTGCTTGTGCTATCTCCAGGATCACCTGCTTCACCACTTACCTCAGGGCCTCGCTCTCCATCTCCCAGTGAACCTAGGTTAAAACTCTCCTCACTAGATTAGTGAGCCTGTCTGTAAAAATGCTTTTCCCTTTCTTTGTCAGCTGAATCCTGTCTCTTCCTAGCAATCCTTCTTCTTTGAAGAACATCCTGTGGTCAAAGAAGCCAAAGCCCTGGTAGCAACACCACCTGCACAGCCATGCATTGATCTGTAGGATGCACCTGCTTCTGTCTGGGCCCTTCCCCTTCACAGGTAGAATTGAGAACACCATCTGAACCTGTTCCCTTCACACTTGCTCCCAGAGTCCTTGATTAGTATCACTGATTCCCACATGGAGGAGCAGGATGGGGTAGTAGTCAGAGGACTAAATCCTTCTGTGACATCTCAGATCTGGGCTCAGGCAAACAGCAGACCTCCCAAAACAAAGATCAGTCTGGCATATGGATGCCTCCACTCCCACAGAAGGGAGTCTCCAGCCACCACCACCCATTGCTTCCTCTTGGTGGCAGTGGTGTTGATCCGCCCAACATTGGGGATGCCTGGTCTCTTGCACCAACAGAACATGCTCCTCCTCCTCCTCTGTTGCTGGGGTTCCATATCTATTCTCCAGACAGACTGCTGCTCGTGGAGATGAACATTTCTACTTGCTGCTAGAGTTCACAAGTTTCCAGCTTCCAGCTTCCTGAGCATCCATGTCCTCTTCTTTCACTAGCACTGCCTGTGGCAGTCCTTCCTCTGCAGTCCTAGAGGTCTCCTCCAGGATTGAATTGATGAAGTCCTCATGGTGGAGGATCCTTCAGAGCCTCGCCACCTCCTCCTAAAGCCCTCTTGCATGCTCCCTGTGGGTCACCACCAGGAGGCACTGCTCACATCTCAGGCATTCCCCCACCTGGCTCTCACTGGAACAAACCTGCAAGCTGCTTCTCCACAGCAGCAAAACAAGACCTGGATGGTAGCCTCAGTAGTGAGTGGTCCTTCCTGGACAGACACCTCAGAGGTGCAAGCAGAAAAAGCGCTAGCAGTAGCAGTGGCTTTGGTTTTGCAATATCCTCCAGCCATTTCTCTGGGTCTCTTAATCTGCTGCCTTTCTCTTCCTGCCCCTCTTCCAAGCAGATCTTCCCTAGCAAACTCACCTGAAAACTGACCTGTTCACTGCTTCCTGGCTCCGAAAGGTTCCTTTTTCCATGCTTCCTCTCACCAAGCTTACAGTGAAGGAAGATGAGAGAGAGTTACCATGCAAACCCCCCCTCACTCAGTACTCTAGTTAAGCAAGGGTCTTAAGTATTCATCTAACTCCTGAGTTTTACCTACTTACACTAAATATATGTAGGTTAGCTATTCTTAAACAAAAGAAAGAGCTTACCTTAAAGGCTCCTCTTCAAAGAGTGGGGCTACTAACTGACCTGAGAACTTCTTGCCCTATTCCCTCACTCCCTGGCCACACAGGGAGTCTCCTTTTATACCCTGCTGGGCCTGGACTGGATCCACCCTCTCATTAGGGCTTTTGTCAAACATAGGCAGCAATCACCCAGCAATCACTCAGCCTGCAGCTCTCCCAAGGTGCCCAGAGCACACACCCCAAACAGACACAGCCCACCAAACAAACACTCAGCAAACCAAACACACAGGCAGCCCTCACTCAGTCACTTTCCCAGAGTAGGATCTGGTGCCTGATGCCAGGCTTCTCTTCCCCTTTCTCCTCTTGCTCCCAGCAAATTTCTTGCACCATTTCCTACCCCTGTTTGTTCACTCCCTGGGCACTCAGGGAATCATCACTTTCTTCCAGTTAAAATCATGCAGAGGCAATCCTGGATCACCTCACACCTCAAGACACGCTTCAAAGGACCTGGCAGCACCCCAAGAATAAGAATCACTGCATTAGTGTCTTCTCCAACAGCCTTGTAATCCAAAGAATTATCAATGCATGGCACAATTTACTGTGCCTGGGGCAATCCTCTGGTGGAGTGGAGCTGCTGTAACTTCTGCAGTTCTTTTGCCAGCTGCTTAACAGATAGGGACAAGGAAAAGGGAGACTGATTAAGGTATCCATGCACCTAGTTGATTTCCATCTTTAGGATACTGTAATTTAGGGTTACCATATTTCCAGTATCAAAAAGAGGACACCTGTTGGGGGATGGAGCAGGGCAGGGGGCAAGATGATGGGAGGGGCAGAGATATGACTATGTCCTGCCTCTTCCCCTCACTTCTAAGCTATAGCCTGCCCCCAGCCCTGCTGCTGCCTCTCACTCCTGATCCACTGTACCCCACCCCTCAGCCCTGCTGGTGCCGCTCACTCCTGACCTGCAGCCCCTACCCCTGCCCCAGCCCCACTGGTGTCCCTCACTCCAGGCCTGCAGCCCCCTGTCCCCCCCAGCCCTGATGGTGCCCCTCACTCCTGACCCAAAGCCTCCTGCCAGTGCCCCTCATTTCCACCCCACAGCCCTCTGTCCCTGCTGCCCACACAGCTCTCTCTCACTTGTGAGCAGCTGCCAAGGCTGATGCATAGAGCACATGATCCCTCATGAGAAACTGGTACTGCCTTAGAAGGGGCACATGCCCCCCCTGTGACCAGTCCTGCCAACCAGGGTGGGCTCCCCCCACGGCCAATCCTGCCAACTGGAGGGGTCCCCCCATGGCTGATCTCACTGCCTAGGGAGACCCCTGTGGCCTATCCCACAATGGTCGATCACTGTGGCCAATCACTGCAGCCGCTTCTGGTTGTGGCTGAAGTGATTGGCCACTGCTTGCAGGGTGGGGCACCGGTGCTCCTGCCTGCCCCCCCAGCCCATCACCTAAGTGGCAAGCGCAGCTGGTCAGGGGGTTCACCGGCACTTTCAGGGGGTGCACATGCACCCCCAATGCATCACCACTGTGATCCCCCAACAGTCAGTCACCTTGCCCCACTGCCCTCAGCCCCAAGCATCCAAGCTGGTAGTGCAGGGGAAAACCCAGAGGCAGAGCAAAAACCTGGACATTTGCTTGTATTTTAAAAACCCACCCAGACAGGAGGACAGGGGGCCAAAAAAGAGGACATGTCCGGGAAAACCCAGACATATGGTAACCCTAAGTTATGGCACATCCCATTGCCCAGACAGCTCAGGGTTTAGATTGGAAAAACTGATGGCAAGAACACCACCTTGCCAGGACTAGTGAACCAGGGCTGTTGCATCCATTTTCTCATAGAAATGGTGATAGCTCTGATAGCCTTATTAATTCCTTTGTGGCTCCTAATGAAAGAGTTAATGTCTTTTTTCTTAAACAGACCAACTGCTGACTCACATTCAAGTAAAGATGGAAACTGACTGAAAAAAAAAGCATTTTTATTAAAGAAACCAGGTAATAGTGATCAAAGGGAATCACAAAGCTGGCAATCATTAGTCTCAGTCAACTGCATACTTCTGTGAAATTAGCAAGCCTGATTTCTATTAAAGGAAAATAGCTGATTATTTGTTGCAATTCCTTAGTGAGCAAAATAGGTGATATATATTAAAAATATGAGCTATATTAAAAGGTCTTCCAGTCCATCTTGGACTGTATTCCCCACCCTGGGCTAGCACAGCAATACAGTGTTATATCAGAGCAGGAGTCCAACATCTTTATGTGTAACTATAAAATAAATGTCTTTCAAATGGTAAAATTGACTGAGGTCCAGTTTGTACGAAGTTCATAAGATGACACCTTCTTGAATTATTTTCTTATCCTAGTGAAACCATGATTTTGTTCAGCAATCTGCTTTGGAAAGTCATTTTTAGAACAAATTGTATATTGAACTGGGACTTCTTTTAATAATGCTCACTTTTAATTTGATTCCACCTTCCTGAAAAGGCCTACCACAAAATAAGATCAAGCAAATCGATAGCAGCTTTGCTCCAACATTCCAGACAAGAAAATACTAGATCAAACATGCTGAAGAATCTGTCCCAGTAGTTTTCTGAATCCAGATGTCTAGCCGACCATCAGCTTCGATCATTAAGAGTCACCAGATGCTTCTTCTGGGGAAGTCGAAATGAACAGGGTATTAGTAACAAAGAGACAGGGAGTACTGCCTGAGCATGAGAAATTGGGGTATGAGATGTGCGTTTTATCTCCATCTGTTAGCAAGGAACAGAGGAGCAATTGGAGATCTGGGGCAAGGGAGGAAAAGGACAATTATCCAGACATTCATAGAAGAGATTTTTGAGACAGTTGTATATCTAAGAGAATTTCTGACATATTTGCAATCTCCCTCCCCTGAAATCTAACCAACAGAATTGTATAGGGATCAACTGGCCAAGAAGACTGATAACAGGCTGGAGGTCACAGTGGTTCCTCCTGAAAATGTGACCTCAATTGGTCTATAAGCACAGTCATTAGGTAAATATTCATTAATATTAATATGAATTTAATTTCATTGTTTTCAAATCTAATAAAAACTCATTGAAATTTCTTACATAAACAACATGGAATGTAGGATTATGAGGGTCTGTGTAAGATGTGGCAAGAGTTCTAATTCTTAAAAGACCAAATCTAAAATTAACTTTAATTCATGCTAGTTGGCAAGTTTACTTATAAATTCACCAAAAATCCATTCTCAAAAGAGTAAGCACTGTAAGCCTGAGACAGATAATGTACAGTTTTCATTTGTAATACAGGCTATGTCCTTGCTTTTAGCACAAGACTGGGCTGAGTAGTAATGATTCGGAAATGACTGCATAAAGCAGTGGTGCTCAGTCTTCTGGCCCCGGAGCTGGCACAGGGCTGGTATGCCAGCTGAATCCTGTGGGCAGGTTCAGACCATGGGCCAGATCCAGCTGCTGAGCAGCCCCTCACACTGACCTGATCCCACACACCAGATCCAGCTATGAAGCAACACATTGGCATAATAAGGCCTACAGGGCCATATCATCTGTGCTGCAAGGTTCCCCATGAGTCTGGAACTTTGGCTGCAGGGAAGTGGTAGCAGCGTTAACTGCTGCAGCTCTGGAAGGTGTGGCTGAATGCAGCCTGACGGAAATTGAGCACCACTGGCATAAAGCATATCTGGGTGTTAAGAAAAGGGCTCTGTTCAGAGACATCTAAGAAACATTCAATTTTTGTCCAACCCTTTTTAAAGCTGGATTCATGCTTATATGTACAGTAATATATCCTTCTTGCATTAGAATGAATCCACTTCCAGAACTGGAAAGCTCTACATCAGTTGGAAGTCAGTGCTTGGCTCAACACATTTTTTCTAGTGATTATCTCTGAAATAGATTTCATAGATTTCATAGACATTAGGGCTGGAAGGGACCTCGGAAGATCATTGAGTCCAGCCCCCCGCCCAAAGGGCAGGAAGTCAGCTAGGGTCATAGGATAAGCAAGATAAGCATCCAATTTGTTCTTGAAGGTGTTCAGCTTGAACCACCTCCGATGGCAGGCTGTTCCGGACCTTGGGGGCTCGGACAGTAAATTCTTCCTTATGTCCAGCCTGAAACGGTCCTGCAGTAGTTTATAACCGTTCAACCTCATCATCCCTTGGGGCGCTCTGGTGAACAAACATTCCCCCAGATACTGGTGGTCACCCCGATAAACTTATAGGTGTCCATCAGATCACCCCTGAGCCTGCACTTTTCCAGGCTAAAGAACCCCATGGCTCTCAGCCTGTCGTCATAAGCTC